GTTTAGCTGTTGACTAGTGAGTAGATGAGTTTAGTTGTTGACTAGTGAGTAGATGAGTTTAGTTGTTGACTAGTGAGTAGATGAGTTTAGCTGTAGACTAGTGAGTAGATGAGTTTAGTTGTTGACTAGTGAGTAGATGAGTTTAGCTGTTGACTAGTGAGTAGATGAGTTTAGTTGTTGACTAGTGAGTAGATGAGTTTAGCTGTAGACTAGTGAGCAGATGAGTTTATCTGTTGACTAGTGAGTAGATGAGTTTAGTTGTTGACTAGTGAGTAGATGAGTTCACCTGTTGACTAGTGAGTAGATGACTTTAACTGTTGACTAGTGAGTAGATGAGTTTAGTTGTTGACTAGTGAGTAGATGAGTTTAGTTGTTGACTAGTGAGTAGATGAGTTCACCTGTTGACTAGTGAGTAGATGAGTTCACCTGCTGACTAGTGAGTAGATGACTTTAACTGTTGACTAGTGAGTAGATGAGTTTAACTGTTGACTAGTGAGTAGATGAGTTTAGCTGTTGACTAGTGAGTAGATGACTTTAACTGTTGACTAGTGAGTAGATGAGTTCACCTGTTGACTAGTGAGTAGATGAGTTTAGCTGTTGACTAGTGAGTAGATGAGTTTAGTTGTTGACTAGTGAGTAGATGAGTTTACCTGTTGACTAGTGAGTAGATGACTTTAACTGTTGACTAGTGAGTAGATGACTTTAACTGTTGACTAGTGAGTAGATGAGTTTAACTGTTGACTAGTGAGTAGATGACTTTAACTGTTGACTAGTGAGTAGATGACTTTAACTGTTGACTAGTGAGTAGATGAGTTTAGCTGTTGACTAGTGAGTAGATGACTTTAACTGTTGACTAGTGAGTAGATGAGTTTAGCTGTTGACTAGTGAGTAGATGAGTTTAACTGTTGACTAGTGAGTAGATGAGTTTAGCTGTTGACTAGTGAGTAGATGAGTTTAACTGTTGACTAGTGAGTAGATGAGTTTAGCTGTTGACTAGTGAGTAGATGAGTTTAACTGTTGACTAGTGAGTAGATGAGTTCACCTGTTGACTAGTGAGTAGATGAGTTCACCTGTTGACTAGTGAGTAGATGAGTTCACCTGTTGACTAGTGAGTAGATGAGTTCACCTGTTGACTAGTGAGTAGATGAGTTTACTGTGTGCTCATACACACCAATTTTATGAAATCTAAAAAAAATAGATGAAAAATGAACTCTAGCCGCCACCAAACAATTATTCAGAAGAGTTAGCAACCCCAAACACCCCTCCAGTGCGCAAGATAATTAGTCATATACTTTTAGTTAATAGTTTTAAATGTAAACTTTTTCATATGTCATCCAGTGAAATAACACTGGATGGATTCATCAGTTTCCCATCATACTGCCCTCATGACCACAGTGCTGGTGTTGTGTGTTTTAGTTGGATGGCTTTTACAAAATCTCTGTTAATGTAATGTGTCACTTTAATATTAGATAGATGTATGGCCGGAATTGAAGGCCGTCTCGAGTTTACACGAGACTGCTTGCTTTGGTTCTGTACCTGTTTATTCTTTTCAGCAGGTCATAATCGCTATTAAGCTCATGTTTTCCTGCTCGGTTGTGTGTGTTGTAGGTTTGCCACGGTGAAGTATGACCACGCCACTGCAAACATCAAGAACCAGTTCATGCATCTGACCAACTACAGCGTCAACAAGAAGAGCAGCGACTACGTCAGGTGGCTTTTCACAGCGTTCATCTATTTTTGTGTATATCGATATGTACAGTTTTACATTTTTGTCTGCTTATATTTTATTCATGTCATTTAAAATGTTAAGCCTTTAAATTGCACTTTAAGCTGAATTTAAGTTACTTGCTAAATAACTAGTACAATATTATGTGCTGTCATCATAGCAAAAATAAAATAGAGGTATTAGAAATATTATGTTTAAAAATGTGTTGATAAAGTCATTTGGGAAATATGCAAAAATTTAATGTACATTTCATAGTAAGGTAAAAAAAAAAAATGTCTTAAACTATACGTTATGTGTTCAAGTAGACAGTCCAGAATCAATATTAAACCATAAAATGCTCATTTTTAAATAAATGCGCAGACTGTAAACCGTAGAATGTATTGTGATCATTGACACCTTTTACCAGTTTAAACCTATTAAACACATTTTCCACCAAATCAACCCAAGAAATGTAAGTAGGACATTCAATCTGAATCTTTATTATTAAGTTGCAATATTTCTTAATGCTAGAGATGCCCAATAGACTATATCAATATCGGCAGATAAATGCTAGTTGTCATGTATCGGTGTATGTGCGATAAATTAGGTCACCGATATCTTTAAGTTGATACTATTATGTATTATTTCCTTGCTTATATGCGTATTTTATTGGTATTTTGGTTAATATTGAGTTACTTAGTTGCTATTTATGCATAATTTATTTTGTCAAGCAAATTTTGCATTTGGGCATAGAAAAAAATAGCTGATTAATAAAGCTCAAAGATCAGTTCCAGGTTTTCTGAAGTTTAGGTTATAAAATAGATTCTATTATATTTTATTATCTATGAGATTAATTTGCAAATATATTAGATATCGGACTTCAAATCTAAATATATCGGTAATAATATCAGTCAAAAATTTGGCATATCTGCATCTCTACTTGATGTTTTTTTTCAAAATAAATACCTTATTGTTTTATATCAGCTTGTGTTTTTATGCAATAAAGCATCATTCACATAAGTAATGAGAACTGATTTCAACTGTAATAGTTAATGATATTTACGTAGTGATATCCTATTGTTTCACACTTCTAATTGGGTTGGTAATGTCATCTCAAATACAAGCTAATCCTTGTGTTTGCTAATCATGTCAACATTGTATTAAATAAATATAGATATAAAAATGTATTTATTTCTGTATTTATCTGCAAATAAATCGGATATCGGCTTCCACATCTAAATATATCGGTAATAATATCAGTCAAAAATTTGGCATATCTGCATCCCTACTTAATTTTTTATATTAATATGATAATACTTTTATATCAGCTTGTGTTTTTATGCAATAAAGCATCATTCACAAGTAATGAGAGCCGATTTGAACTGTAATAGGTAATAATTATTACGTAATAATATCTGATTGTTCCTCACTTCTAAGTGGGTCGGGAATACCATCTCAAATACAAGCTAATCCTTGTGTTTGCTCGTCATGTCAACATTGTATAAAACAAATATAGATATAAAAATGTAATTATTTCTGCAAATATATCAGATAACAGTCTCCAAATCTAAATATATCGGTAATAATATCGGTCAAAAATTCTGTACTTGAGGCTTTTTGTCAAAATAAATACCTTATTATTCTATGTCAGCTTGTGTTTTTCATGCAGTAAAGCATCTTGCCGCAGTAATGAGAACCGATCTGATCTGTAATAGTTAATAATAATTAAATAATCATGTCTCATTGTTCCTCGCTTCTAAGTAGGTCGGTAGTGCCATCTTAAAAACAAGCTAATCCTTGTGTTTGCTAATCATGTCAGCATTGTATAAAATAAATATAAATATAGAAATGTATTTATTTATATGTTTATCTACAAACATATCAGATGTCGGCTTCCAAATCTAAATATATCGGTAAAAATATCGGTCAGAAAATCTGTAATTGATACTTTTTTTTTAATTACCATATTATTCTGTGTCAGCTTGTGTTTTTTATGCAATAAAAAAGCATCTTGTCAACGTAGTGAGAACCGATCTAAACTGTAATAGTTAATAATGATTACATAATCATAGCTCGTTGTTCCTCAGTTCTAAGTGGGTCTGCAATGCCATCTCAAACACAAGCTAATCCTTGTGTTTGCTAATCATGTCAACATTGTTGCGATGTGCCCAATGCTTAGTGCTGTTTTGGTAGTGCTGACAGGGTTTTTTATCCTTTCAGCTGCGATGACCCCGAAGTAGAGGATTATGGGAACAAATGGAGCATGAGTGCAATGCTGAGATATTTGAGACAAGAAGGCAAAGACACCACACGTGAGTAGACCTTAAACAATCATATGCTTTCATGTTTAACACACCATAACGTCTGACATTCATAAGCTCTCATCTACGGTTCTTCTCAAAGCACCTCAGAGCCATTTGGAGATTGACGTTTCACAAACTACAGCTGCTGGATTTATGATTTACGCTGGATTAGTTTGAAGATTGTTTTGGAGAAATCTTGGATACTGTTAACACCTGTTGTTAAATAAGAATAGACCTTATATACAGTGGGAAAAATAAGTATTGAACACTTATAATATAATTTTTTGGCAATCTTATGTGGAGAATGAAGGCACAATCATTGCTCAGGTGTGAGTTTCTCACAGACTTCAACAGTGTCAAAATCTTAATGGTTCTGTGAGTCTCGTCTATCAAATCTGAGCTTTATTTTGTATACTCTATTGGATTGCTGTCAGGTGATTGGCCGGGCCATTCTACAGATTGGTTTTCTTTCTCTGAAAGCATCTGAGAGTCTCCTCGGCTGTGTTTTGGATCATTGTCTTGCTGAAATGTCCACCCTGGGTTCATCTTCATCCTCCTGCTAATGTAGATGTTGGACTGAAGCAGCTGATATTCATTTACACTGAGGAAGGGCAGAGGCTTGCTAAAGAGATTTCAGCTACTGTCTGGGCTTTCACTGCCATTCTGCACCTTCCTTTCTTCAAGTGTTCAGTACATTTTCCCTGTGTTATTTCATTTTATTACACATAACTTCATTTGTAAACTAATTAGATTTGTTGTCTTTGCAAATGTGCATTTATTTGGTTGTTAGTAACATCTGTTGTTACTAATTTCAAGTCAACGGCACCTTTAGAAATATGTTTTTTTTTTAAACGTGTGTTGAATACTTACAAAAAAAAAATAGGATAAATATCTGTTCCAAACAAATTGACCGATGGCTAGTTTTGTGGTTTAGGGTCACATGTGTGTTCACCTTTTGTCTAGTAAGGTTGATAACGGAAATAATCTTAATTAAATTAGTATTTCAGGGCTTTTGTTAGTGGTCCTGTTTTAAAAAGATATTGCTACTCAAAAAGAATATCTAAAGATTTAAATTGTCTTTGAATTGTCTTTGTTTGTCAGTGCTGATGGGCCAGATTGAGGATCTGATCATTAAAGCTGTTCTGAGTGCTGAGATCCACATCGCCACGTCCTGCAAGATGTTTGTTCCTCATCGGTGCAACTGCTTCGGTAAGACAGATCCCAGCGAAAAACCAATCTGTGGAAGATATGATGTGTACAATCCAGGCTCAATGGAAATGCGTGCTTAAGCCTACATTTTTTTTGTGAAAATTAATTGCTTCGAGTACATTTTGTTGCACGTTTCAGATGACGAATCCACTAGAGGGTGCTATCTAAATTTTTGTGAATCTGAAATAAGTTACTTAGGGAATATTTTATCGCGTCTGTCAGATCACAAATCCACTAGAGGGCGCTGTCTAAATTTTTTTGAATTTGAAGTACGTTACTTAGGGTACATTTGTTGTATGTTTGAGATGAGAAATCCTCTGGAGGAGGCTGTCTACATTTGTCCAAATCAGAAATACGTTACTTAGGGTACGTTTTGTTGTGTCTTTCAGATGAAAAATCCACTAGAGGGCGCTGTCTAAATTTCTGTGAATCTGAAATGCGTTACTTAGGGTACATTTGTTGTACGTTTTAGATAACTTTTCCACTAGAGGGCGCTGTCTACATTTTTGCCAATCTGAAATGTGCTGAAGTACATTTTGCTGCGAGTTTCAGATGATAAATCCACTAGAGGGCGCTCTCTAAATTTTTTTGAATCTGAAATGCGTTACATAGGGTATGTTTGTTGTACGTTTCAGATGACAAATCTACCATAGGGCACTGTCTACTTTTGTCCAAATCAGAAATACCTTACTTAGGGTACATTTTGCTGCATGTTTCAGATGAGAAATCCACTAGAGGGCGCTGTCTAAAATTTTGTGAATCTGAAATACGGTACTTAGGGTATGTTTTGTTGTTTGTTATATTTGTTTTCGGATAACAAATCTAGGTCACACTTTACAATAAGGTTCATTAGTTAATGGTAATTAATGCATTTACTAACATGAACAAACAATGAACAATACATTTACTTCAGTATTTGTTCATGTTAGTTAATGTTAGTTAATGTAATTACAGTAGTTCATTGTTAGTTCATGTTAACTCATGGTGCATCAACTAATGTTAACAAGCATGGACTTGGATGTTAGTAATGCATTAGTAAATGTTCAATTATGATTAATAAATGCTGTACATGTGTTTCTCATGATTAGTTCATGTTAGTAAATGCATCAAGTAATGAACCTTATTGTAAACTGTTACCCAAATCTACTAGAGGGCGCTGTCTACTTTTGTCCAAATCAGAAATAAGTTACTTAGGGTACGTTTTGCTGCATGTTTCAGATGAGAAATTCACTAGAAGGCACTGTCTACATTTTTGTAAATATAAAATACATTAATTCCTTCATTTAATTTTAGATAACTATTCCACTAGAGGGCACTGTCTATTTTCTAAATCTGAAATGCGTTACTAAGAGTATGTTTTGTTGTACGTTTCAGATGACTAATCCACTAGAGTAGTGGTCACCAAACTTGTTCCTGGAGGGCCGGTGTCCTGCAGATTTTAGCTCCAACCCTAATCAAACACACCTGAACAAGCTAATCAAGGTCTTACTTGGTATACTTGAAATGTGTGTTGAGGCAAGTTGGAGCTAAACCCTGCAGGGACACCGGCCTTCCAGGACCAGGATCTGCACTAGAGGGTGCTGTCTACTGCACGTTTTAGATGAAAAATTGACTGGAGGGCGCTGTCTACATTTTTGCAAATCTGAAATACGCTACTTAGGGTACGCTTTTGTTGTACGTTTTAGATGCACGTCCTTGTCCACATCCAAGAGAAGATTTAGCTTGTTGTACCGATCACTGAGCTAAACCCTTCCCTAAATCCAACCAATAGTGTTTTCAGAAGCAGACGTAAAAGAAAATGCTAAATCTCAAATGCAGTTGTAATTCGGTTTATCCTTCATCCCTACGTTACATCATTTCACTGATTCAACTTTCCAGATGTATGAATGCAGACTGCTTGAAAGGGGGCGGGGTATGACACATTAATCATTCTATTATTTTTTTTGTTTGTATTTATTTATTTATTTTATTATCATTTGAGGTCAAAGTTAAATTCTGATTAACACAGCCCTATCTTCTTTAGTGTCCTGAATATAGTGTATCTTTAATAGTGGCGGTATCCTTCTTTCTCTTTGCTCCAGTGTATTGTGCGTGTAGACATAATATTTCCTCTGTAGGTGTTGCTTGTTTTGGTTGTGATAACACGTTCCTGTTGCACTGCGCTGTTATCGGGACAATCGCCCTCATGAGGAGAGTATCTGTGCCCGCCGTTTGCCCTCATCTCAGTCACTGATGCCCAGCTCAGGTGAATATGAGCCGCTCATGCAGGTGCAGCCGGGGAATTTGATGGAGACGCTGTGATTAAAAGCTAATCAAGCTATTCAGGATAACTGCTGACTTTCAGACAGGTGCGCGCCTGCTAAAATCCAGAGCAGTGGTACAGTATGGTCTGGTACGGATCACCTTTATCAGGCTTGTGTCTTTACGGCCAAAGGGTACCAATGGTACCCTTTTGATAGGCTAATAAATGACTTTAGGATTTCGCTGTCTTGGCTGCAGGAGAAGCACTACATTCTCCATTCCCTGTTTACATCTCATCTGCAGTGACTCTGGATCAGAGCCACACGGTGGATTTACACGCCGTTTAATGCGCTCCTCATGTGAATCTGCGGCCGGTTGGTCTTTGTTCAGCTGCTGTGTAACATGATGCTTCATTGGTCTCTCTTCACCTCTGACACGGAAAGCAGAAACAGACCTGTACTGCTGAGTAAATGAGCCTCTTTGTGCGCGTTGGGCTGTGCGGAGGAGATATTTGTGTTATGGCCATTCAAGTCTAGTTCAATGCTTCTTTATATATATACACTTTTGGGCATCTGGGCGAATTGTAAGAGATTTGTTTTGTCCTCCTTTAATGGGTTGTGGTGATATGGTCACTGATTGCTGAGTAATTGCATTAAGCAGCACTCCAAAAAAAATGTTACTTCACTTTTTACTCACCCTCAAACCTCAAACATAAGTTATTTTGACCTGTAACCATTGACTTCCACAGTAGGAAAAGCATTTACTAGGGAAGTCAATGGTTACAGGCGTTCAGCATTTTCCATGGCGTCTTTCTTTGCATTTAACTGAAGAAAGAAACTCCGAACTGGTTTGTGACAAGGATGAGTAAATGATGACAGAATTTCAGTTACACAAGTAGATATTTTGAAGAATGTTGAAGACCAGTCACCATTGACTTCCATAGTAGTTGTTTTTTGTTTATGTTAATGGTTGTTTTTATCTGTCGACATTGATACTTTCATCATCAGTTTACAACATTCTTCAAAACATTTCCTTTTTATATTTAGCATTTATTTTTTTGTGAGAATTGTCCCTTTAAAAGTTGCTGAATCTTAAGTGTTCAATCTTAAAGGCACACACGCACACAAATACACACACCCACATATTTGAGTTTCTTTTTTCTGATAAACACACAAGTAGATATTTTGAAGAATGTTGAAGTCCAGTCACCATTCACCTTGATGGTAGTTGTTTTTTCTTTTATGAATGTCAATGGCTGTTTTCATCCATCAACACTGATATCTTCATTATCAGTTTAATGATAACATTCTTCTAAACATCTACTTGTTATATTCAGCATTTATTTTTTTGCAAGAATTGTCCGTTTAAAAGTTGCTGAATCTTACAGTATGTGTTCAATCTTAAAGGCGCACACACACATTTGAGTCTCTTCTGATAAACACAAAAGTAGATATTTTGACGAATGTTGAATGTTATAGATGTCGGTGGTTATTTTATTGTTGTTATCAGTTTACAACATTCTTCAAAACATCTACTTTTTATATTCAGCAAATTGCTGAATCTTAAGTGTTCAATCTTAAAGGCACACACACACGTTTGAGTCTCTTTTGATAAACACACAAGTAGATATTTTGAAGAATGTTGAAAACCAGTCACCATTGACTTCCATAGTCGTTGTTTTTCTTATTATTGATGTCAGTGGTTATTTTCATCCATCAACACTGATATCTTCATTATCAGTTTACAACATTCTTCAAAACATCTGCTTTTTATATTCAGCGGAAAAAAGGAACCAATTTCAAGAGTAACTGTTTACTTTTTTGGGGAGAACTGTCCCTTTAAAATATTGTTGTAAACCAGTGTGCTGTTGTTGCAGCTTTTTCTTTTTCACAAAAAGAGAAATTTTATGGATCATGAGGTTCTTTCTCACATCGACATAATGAAAACATAAATACTTTGTGGGTGAACTGTCTCTTTAAGAGTTGCATGAATGTCTGTGTAAGCTTTAGATTATCAGTGCGCTTCTGCTCGTCATCACTCTGTTTCTGTAAGGAGTTGACTGCAAGCATTGTTGATGAGGAGATGTTTTTTATATTCATGATTAGCCCAACAGTTTGTCTGCACGTTGCCAAGTTTGTCAGATCATTTCACAGTTTACACCAACACTGTTTTAAAATAGAGCTGTGATGTGAGGGTCAAACACACTGGCTTTATAGGGCTGCATTTGTGTGGTCGTGAGCCGGCCGCAGCGCAGTGGTTTTAATAAAGACGAATGCTTTAAAGGTTAGAAGAACAGTGGTCTGTCTGCGCCACAATTGACTGCAGCAGTTCAGTGTGATTCTGCCTCTGGTTTACTGCTGGTTTGAACTGGTCTCTTGGTTTGACCAAGCTGGTGTGTGCAGAAGGTTATTCTGCTGCCACTTCACTAAGCTATAAATATGCTTTCAAACTCTCAAATGCACAAAAATTTAGGATTTAATCATTAAAGGGAACCCACTGTTTGATGAAAATCATCTGTTTTAAGCTGTTTGGACAGAACTGTGTAGGTAGAGTGTGTCCACAGTCATATTGGAGTGATAGAAACACAACTAGATTATTAAAGTTCCTCGAGACAAACTTTGAGGCTGGCTTGAGAAAGCCTGTTGGTAATAGTTTATTGATATTAAACATTTTTAAAAAGTATGAAAAGATAGAGATAGATAGATAGATAGATAGATAGATAGATAGATAGATAGATAGATAATCATGATTTTAGCATA